CGCTTTTAGAATTTTTCTAGTATTTTTCCCGTGCTGTGCGCTCCGTCCCGAGTGCATAGACACCACACTTGTCCCCATAGGAGCACTTTTGCGAAAAAGCATCGAACCGAGGCTACCTAAGCGCTCCAGAATTCGATAATAACATATCATAGTTGAAAAATTTTTTCTGGAAATTCGCTGTTTTCTCGCTGTCCCTCGTTGTCAAAGTTGTTGTCTAGTCGCTCCATACAGTTTAATATAGTTTTTGCACCCCTCACCCCTTTCTACCCCCCGTTGCAAGTAGTTTTTTGTTATTTAAAAATCTCAAAAATTCTCTCGTAAATTGTCTTTTTTCGTCGTTTTTTCTTCTTGAATTAGTTAGTTTTCGTCCCCTCTTGTCGTTCGTCTACCTATCACCCCCCTACCCCCGTCAACCCCCTGAATTTTGACTACTTACCTACTCGTAATCGTACTATTTCTCCCCAATTTTCACCCCCCCCTGTCGCTTTTAGAATTTTTCTAGTATTTTTCCCGTGCTGTGCGCTCCGTCCCGAGTGCATAGACACCACACTTGTCCCCATAGGAGCACTTTTGCGAAAAATTTGCCCGCCCACCCGCCCATTTTTCTCACTGTATAAGGTGGAAATTTCGAGACCAAAAATTTTTATTTTCGTTTTCGCACTTTTTCGTTCTGAAATTGATAGTGCTGCCCCTCAGCAGCCCCCCCGTCAACCTCTTACTCACCTTTTCTCCCCCAGTTATCCAAAAACTCGAATATGATCCTAGCACGGTCACCGGTCAGGCGACCCGTCAACTTGCCGTCGGCGTCAGCCGAGGCTCGAAAGGCCGATTCTGCGGCCCCTCAGGCATCCCCCCCGTCTTCAGGCACGTCATCCACTGACTTCCACCCAACGTGGAGACCAATAGCAGAGTCAGACTCCTCCAGTCGCAGCTGCCACGGCAGCACTTTGGATGACAACTCAGTATTTACCTCGTTACCTCTTCCCCAACGTACCCAGTCGAATGTCGTGGCAGAAGGGGCTGATTGTTCGGAACGAGTGCAAACTCTCGCACTGGGTATAGTCAGCACCCTAAGGCAGGCTAAATCTGTCACTGCCGATATGAGAAACAGAGCCATCGACTCAGCTAACCAAATCGCTTGGCTAGCAGGTAACTCAATGGCCCGCCGCTTAAAGGAGATCGAGGCAGAATCCGCTGCACACAAACAGGAACTAATGACCGTACGCAGTGAGCTTGGCGAAATTAAGGCCCTCATAGCGAGTAACAAAGCGGTAAATATTGGTGAAGGTGGACAGTTAGATCTTAACTCAGCATTCACGGCTTCAGCTCTTGACCCCTTAATGAAGGAGATTCGCACTCTGAGGGAGGAGCTGACCAAACGGGAAGACGTCTGTTCCGCAACACATGTCACCAGAGAACAGTTAGACAAGATTCTTGGTGACAAAATAGAAGCTATCAAAGCTGATATTTCCACAGCCAAAACGGCTATCCTGGACATGAGAGAAGCCAGGCATGAGGAAGTCATCTCTCTGATGCATGAGCAGGGAACTGCGCTTGATGCAGAAGTCGCTCTCAAAGAGATCAAACAGCAAATTAAAGAAGTTCGAACTAAGGTACAAGAAAATACCAAGGCGATTGATCGTGCGGAGCTACAAAAGGCCAAGAAGCCAACCGAGCCGTCTACTGTAACTACAGCATCAGTTGTAGAACCGAAACCTGTAAATCAGGCTAACAAAAATAAATCCCGTCGTCCAACCAGTTATGCCGAAGCTTTGAGCAAGCCGAACTATGCGGTTTTGATCGAATCGGCTGACCCCAGGAAGACGTCTGAAGACGTCATAAACCAGGTTAAACAGAATGTTAACGTCATTGATTTAGGCATTGGCGTTAACAGGGTCACAAAAATAAAAAACCAAAAGGTTATCATGGCTTGCGGGTCTCAAGAGGAACGTAGTGCACTTCAGGAGGCGATACGCCAAAAGTGCACACAGATCTCGGCGAGAAGTACGAGAGATAGACTTCCTCAGATCAGGCTAGTAGGAGTCATAAATAGCCTCACCGATGCAGAAATTGAGAAGGCGGTCACGAGTCAGAACCGACATCTCCTTGGCCCTCTTCCTCCTAATTCACAGGCCAGGGTTCTACGCAGAACCAAAGGCAGAACCCAGGAAGTCAAGAATGTTACTCTGGAAGTGTCACCGTCGATTTGGAAAGCAGTTCAGGGACAGAAGCTCCACATCGGCCTGCAATTGGTGCCTGCAGTCGATCAGTCGCCTCTGACCCAGTGCTACAAATGCATGGGATATAATCACAGGGCGGCTGAATGTAATGAACAGATCAGATGTGGGCACTGTGCCCAAGAACACGACACTAGAGTATGTCCCAATAGGAACATGACCCCCCAGTGCTGTAACTGCAGAAAGGCAAAAAGAGACCTTGAGCCTCATCCAGCATACAGCCAAGACTGCCCAGACTGGCAGAAATGGGATGGCATAGCAAGGGCTGCTGTCCTCTACTGCTAAGGGCGTCGATACAGTCAGGGCAACAAACGCCCAAAACCCGCAGGAGAAACTCAAAATAGCACAGATAAACCTTGGAAGAGGACACTCCGCCACACAAGAATGCCTCAGAGAAGCCACTCAGCAGGGTTACTCTGTCTTGCTACTTCAAGAGCCTTACGTTGGCTCCAAAGGATATTTGAGTGCTGGCAGTAACAGTCGGATTATACAAAAATTATACAACAGAAGCCACCCAGTAAGGGCAGCCACTGTAATATTAAATCCGAGTCTACGCATAGTCGAAAATCAAGATTGGATTACAGAGGACATAGTTGGACTAAAAATCGTTGTAGGTAACGAAGTATTTACTGTCATAAATGTCTATCTAGATAAAACGCACGACATAGATCAGACTATGAACTCTCTCCGTAAAATAATAGATTCGACTGGAACTGCCAACCTCATAATTGCAGGAGACGCCAACGCCAGAAGTCCATGGTGGGGCTGTGATACCGAGGACGAACGAGGCAGCAAGATAATGGACACATTTGCAGAACTCGGCATGGAAGTCCTTAATCAAGGATCCCAGCCGACATTTCTGGTGTATCGACAAGGACAACCATGTCAGAGTATCATCGATATTACAGCTTGCTCATCGCAGATCCTCAACTTAATCGCTGACTGGAGAATAAACCCAAACCTCTGTACCCTATCGGATCACATCCCAATTACCTTCAACCTCAAAGCCACAACGAGCCTGGATACAACTTCTAACTCTTCCACACGCGTATTCTTTACTGCCAAAGCTGATTGGACCAAATTCGAAGAAACATTCACCAATAACCTCGAACAACAGAACATTACCATTGAAGCAATACTAAACATAAATAATACGGCTGATCTAGAAAATCTAGCACAGAAATATCACGATGCGCTAACTAGTGCTTGCAACGATTCCATCCCTAAATTACAAAGTAAAAAATCTATAAATAGTGCAAAGTGGTGGACTTCGGATCTCACTAAACTAAAAATAGAACTAAAAAGATACAGAAATAGAATAAAGAAGGCTAATCCTAACGCTCGAATTTTTGTAGTACAAGAATATATAAAGAAAAAAGAAGAGTACAAGAAAGAAATACAGCAGGCCATTACAAAAAGCTGGAAGGAATTCTGCACAGGAGAAGAAAGGGAAACGGTTTGGCAGAGATCCTATAGAATAATAAAACACTCAAGTAAATCTGTCCGCGAAAGTCTGTTAATAGGAAATGATGGTACCACTCTCTCGGCGGAAGAGTCTGCTGCCTTATTAGTCAATACCTTTTTTCCCGATGACGATCCCACAAAGGATAGTCATGAACATGCCCAGATTAGAGAAAGATCCAGCGCAATCTCATCTAAGAAACTTCCTATTGACAGACAAACCACTCTATTCACTGAACAAGAACTGCGAACAGCATTACAGCACGCCAATTCTAAAAAAGCTCCAGGGGCGGATGCTTTTACTGCTGACATCTGCCAAAAAGCCTATAGGACAAATCCAGAAGTTTTGCTAGCTATTTATAATCGGTGTCTCCTACTGAGCTACTTCCCTGTAATATGGAAAGAGGCTCACATAAAGGTCATTCCCAAACCTGGTAAGGACGACTACCGCATTCCCAAATCATATAGGCCAATAGGTCTTCTATCATTGTTGGGGAAGACTTTAGAGAAGATGATGGCGAAGAGGCTACAGTGGGACCTTACTGATCGGGGCTCTCTACACCCCAACCAGTATGGATTTCTCCCACAAAGGAGCACGGAGGACGCGTTATACGACGCATTAAACATAGTAAAAGGCGCCATAAAATCCAAGAAACTGGCAGTAATGGTCTCACTCGACATTCAAGGGGCGTTTGACAGTGCCTGGTGGCCCGCTATTATCACAGAATTGAATTCCATGGGAATAGACGAGGACATATTGCAGCTGATAACCTCCTATTTGTCAGAAAGGAAAATTACAGTTAACTACTCGGGCGCAACCCTAAGCAGAAAAACAAATAGGGGCTGTATCCAAGGATCGGTCTGTGGACCGATTCTGTGGAATGTCCAATTGAATCAAGTACTCGAAGCTTCCCAATACGGCGGAGTTCACATTCAAGCATTCGCAGATGACATACTCCTTATAGCCCAAGGTTACACTGGTGAAGAGGTAGAGAGAAACCTAAACAAAGCGCTCTCGAAAATACTTCAGTGGGGCAATAAGCTTAAGCTCAAATTCGCCCCACACAAGACGCAAGCGGTTCTCTTTACCAAGAAATTAAAATACTACACTCCCAGACTTATCATGGATGGCACACCGATCGAGTTGCAGGATGAGGTAAAGGTTCTCGGAGTAATTATAGACCGAAACCTAAACTTCAACTCGCATATTCGCACTGTCTCTGCAAAGGCTCTTAATATCTATAAGTCTGTATCAAAGATGGCTAGGGCACAATGGGGCCTAAATCCCGGTGTCCTCAAACTAATTTATCAATCTGTTGTGGAGCCGACTATCCTCTATGCCGCTAGTTGCTGGGCCCAAGATACATCGAATCATTCGATAGAGAAAACACTGGACAGAATCACCAGGCTTTTTGCCATAAAAATATGTAAAGGACATAGAACCACCTCGTTCTCCGCTAGTGTGGTGCTTGCGGGGATTCTTCCCCTCAAACTCAAAGCGAGTGAACAGGCCGAGCTGTACTTAATTAAAAGGGGAGAATCTCTGGACGCGCTGCCTGGCAGGGAATTTGAGAGCCGCACTCCCGTCTCCTTACTACCGCATCCAACTAACAGAAAAGGAATCACCTTCGAAACTATAAAAAATCAAACAGAGTTGGAGGACGCTATTGACAACAATCGGCCGAGTTTTTATACTGACGGAAGCAAGATAGAAGGCAAGGTTGGTGGCTCTGTCTCATGCTGGCTCGATGGCAAAGAAGTCTTTGTAACCACTTTCCGCCTAGAAGACTTTTGTTCTGTATTTCAAGCAGAACTAGCAGCAATACTTAAAGCCATTGAAACAATGTGCAGAAAGCCGAGTTTAAAAGTCGCAAATATTCTTAGCGACTCAAGATCAGCGCTGGAAAGTATTGCAGACCCATGTCCACTTCACCCCCTCACCATGAAAATCAGGCTAAAAATTCAGGAGCTGTTAGAACGTGGTGGGAAAGTCCACTTCTATTGGGTGAAAGCTCACATAGGAATAATCGGTAATGAGCGTGCGGATGACCTCGCCAAGACAGCGGCTCTGAAAAAGAAAACAAGGCCCATATATGATCGGTTTCCTCTAACGTACGCCAAGAAACTACTAAGGGAAAAATCACTTGATAAGTGGCAAAATTTATACACAGAATCCAACACAGCAGCCATAACAAAATTATTTTTACCAGATGTTCGCAAAGCATACAAAATAGTCAAGGCAATAGATATAGACAACACAACAACTCACCTTCTCACCGGACATGGAGGAAACCGATCATATCTTCATAGGTTCAAATTGACGGATAACCCCAACTGTCTCTGTGACAACGAAACACCGCAAACCATTCAGCATCTAATGTTTGACTGCCAAAGATTTTCTAAAGACCGGCATGAGTGTGAGATGAGAATGGATGCAACATTATCAGAGAACAACATAGAATATATATTCGAGGACAATCTAACTAGGGACATCTTTATTAAGTTTGCAAAGTCCTTATTGCGAGTTATAGCAAGAGAGAACGGAGCGCGAATAGTGGACTAATAACTGGATATGACAAAAATTTTATAGTATATAGATAGTTTACAACTTATACACATTGTTCCAATTTTACATATGTACAGGTTATACACATATATACATTTATATATACATATATAAAAAAAAAAAAAAAAAAAAAAAAAAAAAAAAAAAAATCCTCAGTTTCATGCACAGTTAATAATAATATAGTCAAGAAGGTTGTCGCAAGAAAAATAGCGACAGAAAACATAGCTTTCTCAAAAAAAAAAAAAAAAAAAAAAAAAAAAAAAAAAAAAAAAAAAAAAAAAAAAAAAAAAAAACCTAACCTAACCTAACCTAACCTAACCTAACCTAACCTAACCTAACCTAACCTAACCTAACCTAACCTAACCTAACCTAACCTAACCTAACCTAACCTAACCTAACCTAACCTAACCTAACCTAACCTAACCTAACCTAACCTAACCTAACCTAACCTAACCTAACCTAACCTAACCTAACCTAACCTAACCTAACCTAACCTAACCTAACCTAACCTAACCTAACCTAACCTAACCTAACCTAACCTAACCTAACCTAACCTAACCTAACCTAACCTAACCTAACCTAACCTAAACCTAAACCGCAGGTTATTTTTGGTTTATGAGAGAATATCATCAAATACCGAGTTACTGCGATATCGACTTCTATATTTCATGGGGCGCCATCTAGTTTTAAATTGTTGCATTGCGTCTCTGCATTGCTGTTATCACGGTAATATTGCTGTTTATTTAGTTTAATTTGATTGACATCTCGTTTTTTTTTTTTTTTTTTTTTTTTTTTTTTTTTTTTTTTTTTTTTTTTTTTTGGTGAAAAGTGAAATGATGATGATGAATGTAGTGATGATGAATGGACAATGGAATGGAGGTGAAGTGAATGTGATAAATGTACTAATGAGAGGTGAAGGCTTAGTGATATTAATATGGACGCAAGTAATCTTTCATGATCTTAGTAGCTTTAAGTTTGTTGATAACGTATTTTCGCAAAAGTTTCAAATGAATCCATCATTAACCGTCAACTGCTCCGGTACCTAGAAGAGCACCAGCTGATCTGTGATCGCCAGTACGGCTTTCGACAGGGACGTTCGGCCGGTTATCTTTTAGCTTACTTGACACACCGATGGGCAGTGGCAATCGAGAGTAAGGGAGAGGCCTTACGAGACGATATTTCATGCCAGAACACCGCCTGAAATTATATATAGCCCAAGTCAGGCCGCATATGGAATACTGTTCTCACCTGTGGGCAGGAGCGCCACAGTACCAACTCCTTCCGTTAGACCGCATTCAAAGTCGAATTATCGATAGTCAACGCCTTACTGTCCGACTTGACCCATTGAAACTGCGCAGAGATGTTGCATCTCTGTGCATCTTCTACCGAATTTATCATGGGGAGTGTTCTGACGAATTGTTCGGATTGATACCTGCTGCTGATTTTCACCACCGTACAACCCGCCACAAACTAAAGTTTGTGGCGAATATATAAAATCTGGGCGGAGGTGGGGGGGAATCGCAGTTTTTTGCAAAGCTTTATGAGTAGCTTCGCTAATAACTTACCAAGCACAGACAAAAGATCAATGGGACGGTGGGAAGAAATGTCACTATAATCGGACTTATTCGGTTTCGGAATGATTTTGACTAAAGCTAGCTTCCATTGTCTAGGAAAATGCTGCAATTCAAGACAACGATTGAGAATGTCCATGATGAGATTGGGCTATGCTAGGGCAAATTGCATGCATATATTGGAGGTCAAGCCGTCCAAACCAGGCGCTTTTCTAAGATTCATTGTTTTAAGAGTTTCCAGTACTTTTCGACAACGAAAGGGAAGGGGGGGAAAGGGATTCGTCAGGAGTATCAGGCAGGTCGTTGGTACATTGTCTGAGGGGGGGGGGAGAGATTCAAGTGTATCATCAGGATAGAAGTAGTCAAATAGGACCTTGGTAGTTTGTTGCGCATCAGTGGTGTGCTCTCTACCGAGATTGAGAGTGATAGGGGGGGACGCCGAGGTGCAGTTTCCTTGAGGTTTCTTTCAGTTTTTTTTTTTGCCCTGACGGTTGTAAAATTCGCGGAAGTTAACCGTCGATGCATCTCTAAGTTCTTGCTCATACAGAATGTGTTTGGCATGGGTTTCGTGAGATAGGCGGTCAATTTCATCCTGCGACCGCCGGAACCCTTGGGAGGCATGAATTCCCTGCAAGCCGCACGTCAAAGTAATAATAAACAAAGAAGCAATTGAAAAGTCCGTTAACAAGCCAAATAATTAGTTAAAAAAAAAAAAAAAAAAAAAAAAAAAAAAAAAAAAAAAAAAAACATTTGTAAACTTGCACAAAGGGATCGTATATGATACTTCTAATGATGTCATTTTAGCTAAGTGCGAGTGAGACAGCGTCCTCACGTCCCTTTTACTCAGCTACCTGAGGGGCGCTTTATGATTACGGTTGCACTTGTAGTTACTATCTGAGAGTAAACTTTTTAATGCCATATGAAATAATTTTATTTCGTTTTTGATGAAATTTAATGTAATATTTTAGTCCTCCCATTTTAATATAATTATTTTTTTGACATGAAGCTCTGGCCGTAGCCTGGTGAAATTTTACAAATAATAAGTTCATATAGTAGACAAGTTTTGAAATGGGTCTCTAAGTATTTTGTTATGTGATTTTGTAGAATTAAACTCCTCTAAAGAAATAGTAAGAAATCATCGAAACATATAAAAAAAAAAAAAAAAAAAAAAAAAAAAAAAAAAAAAAAAAAGAAAAATAATAATAAATCGTCGCACGAAAATTATCTCGTGTCAAGTTCATGATAACTTTACACAGTCTATTTTCAATTTGCCGCCAAACCGTAAAACAAATGACAAACGAATAAATTATATACTCAGTATTATGCGTAAAGAGTTCCATTTTTTAAATTTTAACATTTTTTTTTATTTTTTATTTTTTTTTTATTATATTGCTTTCAAGTAGCCAGTTCTAAAATTTTTTAGTGTAGCCCTCGTACCAGCTTAGTCCTCTTAATGCGGCCCAGAGGCATGCCATCAGAATTGGCGAAAATCTCAGGTTTTTTTTTTATTGTTAATGGAATGATAGTGTCCCGCCTGCGTGACAATTATTAATCACAATGGTTTCCAGGCGGGCACCGCGTGAAGGTCGACCTAATACCGGGCTTGTTAGCAATGAAGTCATTAGTCCCCATTACTAACAATCCCTTTCCCCCCGACGATCCCAGGTTAACAGGCCCCTTAGTTTAAGACGAGACTTTGCTTCGTTCTGCATCTTGTGCCGCCTGTATAACGGATTGTGTGTTCTGAGGAACACTTCAATATGATACCTACCGCTGCCCTTCGCAATCGTACCGCTCACCATCGGCAGGGACTCCATCTCCACACCTTACAATCAGAATAGTCACACACAGTGCAGTTTCAGAGGAGCGCGCCTCCGCGTACACTCAGGTTGTGGAATAATCTTCCTGCTGAGGCTTTCCCTAGAGACTACGGCTTGGGTTTTTCAAAATGCGCCTATGAAAGTTTTTTTTTTTACGGGTTGTTGACCCGTTTTTTTTTATTACCCCGTTTGCCATCAAACGGGCCTTGTTTGTTTGCCATACATTTGCTATGCTTGTTTGCCGCAATAGATCTATAATATATATATATATACAAAAAAAAAAAAAAAAAAAAAAAAAAAATTTTTGTCAAGCAAATGTGTTCAAGTTTGTGTTAATTGTGTAAATAGAAAACGTTATATCATCATCGTATCAGCTGTTATTTGAGGGTACTATTTGAGGGGATTTGGCTACGTAGGCTAGTAGTCGCTACGCTTGGTAGATGCGTTGGAAAGCGCAGTTTGGCTTTTGGTGATGTTTTAAGAGGGATGCCCATTCCTCGATCATTAGGTTCCCTTAGTCGCCTCTTACAACTACCGAACGAATTCTTACGGCCCATTCTATGCCGGAACTACACGCCAAATATTATATAGATATGTCATATTATAATTTCAGCCATTCTCCGTCCACTGCTGACCTCCCAGTCCCACATAGACTGCCATATGGAACGGTGCTGAGACACCTCCTGGTATATTATATAGAGTTCAATGATTCCAAAGTCGTCAAATTTGTTAGTTATATACGCAATACGCAAATTATATTTGGATAAATTTATTTATAAAAATCAGATAAATATTATAATAAAACTAAAGACACAATTAAATAATTTATTTATCTGAGAAGGTCGCGTTTGTCTCTTAGAGCTAAACGTCACATTTAATAATTTTTTTTTTTGTATTGAACAGCAATCTTTAGAATACTATTTACAAAACGATCTCATTACTTGAATCATTAATAAATATTTATTTAACCATACAGTAAGTCGGTGTTTATTTTATTTTATCCAGTATTTCCGAATTATTTGCTAGAATTGTACAATGTTGGTATACATGCTCCAATGATCAAATTATGTATGTACATAGTTATATACATATCTATTATAATATAGTAAAACGTCGCTAGAATCACTCTTGTCAATCAATGTCTTTTATCACAACACAGAGAGCTATCGATCTGCCTACCACGTAGCCAGTCCAGTATCACGATCAGTAGGTAACTATTTTATTTTCCGATAAACATCGAAAAAGATTACCAACGATTTATTGGTCATATTTATATTATTATATCTAATACTTATCAATAATTCGTATTCGTGTAGCGAACATTTCGGTTTCACCCTCAGAAATGAACGCGTGCATGTCCGTTCCAACGAGCGGCGGAGGGCGGTGGCGCGTCGGATTGCAGCGAAGCGCTGGTGACTTCGGTGAGCGGCGCCGGGTAGTACACAGTGGGCGCGGGCGAGGGCGCTCGCCGCGGCCGTCCCGACACGCTGCCGCTGCCGGCGCCGCTACCGCCGCCGCCGCCGCCGCCCGCCGGCCGCGCCGAGCGCGCCTCCGACCGCCGCAGCGTTCCGTTGCGCGTCATCCGCATCGACACACGCTCGCCGCACGATGCGAACGAGTCGTCGCGTGTGTGCTCGGGAGAGTCGCGGCGCCGTAATCTTCCGGCGCAGAACATTTTCAAAAATACTCGTTGAAATTTCTCTCCGAATATGACGTAAATGAGAAAGTTGACGCTGCTGTTGATCGTCACCATCAAGTTACTAGTCTTCACTAGCGGATCCAACTTTTCGAGTTGATTTTCTAGGAAGAGCTCGAACGAGTTAGTCACCAGCGGTAGCAGATTGCACAAGAAGAAGACGAGCACGACGACGAGTAGCATGGTGGCGAGCCCGATCTCGCGGCGCTGGACGCGCGATAGCCTGGCGCGCTCGGCCTGGGCGCGTCTCACTTGCCGCACGATGCACGCGTTGAGCGCGGCGAGTGCAGAAAAAGGGATGATGTACATAACGATCAGATACATCCAATGAATGTAAATTGCAACGTAAGCTTCTGTGCGAAATTCCCAGTCTGGCTTTACGCAGTATATCAACTCGCCGTCGTCAATACTAGTATACACCTCTGCTTCGAAAAATTTTGGTGCATTGTAAGCGAGCGCGAACGCTGCAGTCCCGAGAACGTACCAGCGCGCTCTCGACGATGTGCATAGTGCTTTCGCCCGAAAAGGATGACAGACTGCCACCCAACGCTCCACAGTGACAATTAAGGTTAGATATACTGACATAGTCTGAGCAGCATTGGCAATAGGGTACGCGTACGGCGTTATATGTGGACACACGTGGTAATAATAATATCGTAGCCGTCCAGTGTACGGGTATATGGCAGTGAGGCCGAAAAGCAGGATGGAGGTGAGTATGAGCACGGTATCGCAGGCGGCGAGCCCGACCAGCAGACAGTTGACAGAAGAGCGCATTTGCGGCCGGGAGAGTACCAGCGCTGAGAGCCCGTTGCCCAGCAGGCCCCCGGCGCCGATCGCATTCAGTAGCACGCCGTGAACCACGAACCGCACCAGCTTGTCAGATTCCTCTACGCCCAGATCCGATTCGCAGCCCTGGATCGACGGCTCCGACGTGTTCTGGCTCATGTTGCGCCCGCCGCCCGCTCCGTGCTCGCTCCTGCCCGCATTCTCGGCTCAGCTCAACGTCCAGCCGAGTCACGCGCACACGCACACGTACGCGCCTTCCGGTTGCTGGTCTCGATCTGAAAATAAACAAATATTGTGCTATATACCACTACTGACTGACTCTTGGCCACAGCAGAATATCAGTGTTTTGCTCTTTTAAGGGCAAAGCAATAAACTGAGCTGTGACCATTTTGTGTTACTATGGCACACGCATGAAGGAATGTTAACAAAGGAGATTGTTAGATTATGTATTTTGTTTTTGTATTTTTGTTTTTTTATTTGTGCTTTTTTTATTTTTATTCTTTTGTCTCTTTTGCTGTGTATTACATGTATGTTTTTTTTTTTTTATTGTAATTTGTGTGCTGTAAGTAATGCAAATAAATTGTCTATCTATCTATCTATCTATCTACTCAGTAAAATCATGTTTCTTCAAAGAAGTCCTGTTCTAGTGGTGTTTAGTTTTTTTGTCACCCGTCGAGATGGGTCACAAAAAAAAAAAAAAAAAAAAAAAAAAAAAAAAAAGAAAAACTATCTGGATCAAACTAATGGACATCTTCACTATTTCCACCAAGACGTATTATATCTTTATATTATTATTCAGTTCTAGTCAGAAAGATAAGGTGTCCAGTGCAAAGAGTCAAGTGTCAGTAATTGCAATTAAAGCATGACATGGGCAAAACAGTATGATAAAAGTTTTTTTTTTAATATTTTTTTTTATACAACTTAGAATGGCAAACAAGCTAACGGCCCACCTGATGGGAAGAGCTAAACGTCGCCTATAGACATGAGAATTACCGTAGACGTAACAGAGTATACTGTTTCGCCCATGATAACCCCATGCGTTGCCATTCCTGAAGACTCAGGTGTATTCCTCCGTACTCAGTAAATTCACGCCATATCCCACCCTTCAAACCGAAACACAGCCATGCAAACACAGCTGCTTCACGATTGAAACACGAATGGTACAGAGGTACCCAAGCAATCGACTTTTGTACAGTCTTCCTCTGTCTAATAATAACACAATACGATGAGTGTTTAGTAATAATTATACGATAAAGACATACACGTTGCCAATTCTGCGAAATCAGTTGTTGTCTTTAGTAGCTAATAACAATTGAAGTGGTTGTTTCGCTTTTCACTTGAAAACAAAACGTGTGCGTACGTGCACTACATACGTTATTAATAATTCCACATTAATTAGCAAATTTCTCTGAAGTATATAATTTATTTACAATTAAAACCTTGTTACTAATTGTTATTCCAGCAAATAACGAGAACTTTGTATTAGACCTTCAATATGTGAGATATTTTGTTTAAGAAAAGTTTCAATATCACTTTCTCCGAACTAAGATAGGCTCGTTTCAAGTTCTCTTCTCTTCTCTTCTCGTAAATATATATAGACTACGTTACGAATTACATTGTAATTTAATAACAATAACATAGTTTCATTATTCGATGTTTATTTATTGTAATATCCTATAATAATACCAGAGGGAGACTTTGTACAAAAGTCGTTTGCTTGGGTACCTCTGTCCCATTCGTGTTTCAACCGTAAAGTTGTTGTGTTTTCATGACTGTGTTTCGGTTTGAATATGGCGTGAATTTATAGGGTAAAGAGGAATAACATCTAAATCCTCAGGAATGGCAACGCATGGGAGGGGGGGGGGAAGGGCGAAACGGTATACTCTGTTATATCCATGGTACTGCTCATGTCTATTTGTTTGCCATCTAAGTTGTATAAAAAAAAATAATGATGGCATACATACATCGCCATATATGCATTCTATTTGCCTACGGTAAAAATATTATATTCTTAGACATTTAATTTAAATAGATTATGAATCTTGTTTTTTTCAAACTTTTTTGTATTCTTCTGTCATAATGCTCAATACGTCGAATTAGCTGTGACAGCTCGCATCTTGTAATATGTCGCTTTATATTGTTCCCTACTAACTCTTTTCGTACACAAGAACGTATTCACTGACGGGAAATGATGCGAATAATGCTAACGGTACTGGCGCTGGAGGCGGTGACCGTAGCGGGTGCACTGTACAGGAGCAACGGCAGCCGCTATGGTTTTTTCCGTAGCATGGAAGGGTACAGCCGGCGCGAGGGCGGGGGTACCCGGCGCGTGTTCGGCGGCGAGGCGGCCGAGCTGAGCGCGTTCCCGGCGGCGTGCGCGCTGCTCGACCGCTACTGGACGGCGCGCTGCTCGGCGGCGGTGGTGGCGCCGCGCTGGGCGCTCACCGCCGCGCACTGCGTGTCACCGCGCCTCGCCTACGTCAAGTACAACTGCCGCCGTCCCGCCTCCGCTGACGGCGACGTCGCCGCCGTACACTACCTCTATCGGCACCCCGGGTATACACATATTTATAACATAACTAGGTATTGCCCGCGGCTTCACTCGCGCGTAAGTATAAGTAAAGGATAAATGGTTCTATAGTGAAGACAGTGTTTTTCAAAATAAGAAGTATGAATTATCATTTTGGTTACAAATAAAGTATATTACGGCGTTTTTATTTGGCGTTGCACATTTATATACGTATACTACAGTGAAGTTACCGTGTCAAAGGGTATCTATATCTTTCACCTCTCTAGGGGATGATATTAAGACATTTTCTATTTTGCATTTTATTACTTACACTTACAAGTATGTATATGACTTTTTTTAGCGAATATATCTACTCATACAAACCCATCAAACAAAAATTAAAAAAAAAAGTCAAACGCACGTATAAACTAAAAAAAAAATGTAAGCACTCGAAATAATTTGAAAACATTGTTTGCGATGGTTATATAGAATTCTATATTTTTTAATATTAGCCATCGTCTAAATCAACTACCTATATAGGTAGAGTGTAGAGATGATAGAGAGTGATAGAGTGATAGAGAGAGAGAGAGAGTGAGTGGTAGTGAGATCTGTCATTTCAGTTGACTGAGTTTCTAATATACTTCAATGTTTTTGTACAAAAAAAATCTTTTGTTCTAAAATCAGTCATATAAAAATTATAAAGATAAAAAAATGACTGTCTGATATTATGTTAACAGGTACAAAGTAGTTCATGAGGTCGTGGGCCGCGGTACGGACGTGACGTTGCTGCACCACGACATCGGGCTGGTGCGCACGCGCCGGGACATGGTGCTCCGCGGCCGCGACGCGCCCCACCTGCGCTCCCTGCACCTCTACAATAGCCTCGATCTCACAGATAAGGAAGTACAGGTAAAACTAATTAGAATTTGACCACTATTAATGAGACAACCAAGCTACCATGTCAAATTTTCAACGATTCCGTTTCGTTTTGGACAAAATTTCATTAAAAAAAAAATCATTTCAATGTTTTTCTCTAAGAATGACTTGTTTGTATGCGTACGTCGTCAGTATACTATTATATAGTATATAGGTAACTACGGGAGAAAAGCACAATATAGCAGTGTAAGAAAAGAAAAACTAGAGTAAGACTACGATTACCAAGCCACTTGGTCAGCGTGGTAACAGTGCCTGCCGGGGCGCCCAGTAGTGGGATATTAATGAACTGTTAAGGTTAGGCTAAGAGCTTAACTCATCGTCTCCATAGCTACTATATGTTTGTGTAAGCGGTCATAGAAAAAATGTAATTGTTTTCAATAAACGTCTATCTCGAAAGAAGTAAAACAAATAATGCTTAGTTTTATATGTTCAGTAAACTCTACTAGCGGCGGCCATGACCGTGGCTTGTAAACAAGACGGCAGCCATGCGTCTGGTTAATGTTTGTAGCATTAGTATTAAAAGAGATTTTCTCTTGTCTGTAGTCTGCTGACAATGGAGTTAGAGTTAACTCTATTAATTGGATGTAACCCAGTCATTGAAACAAAATTATTACAGCCTCAGCGTGAGATGGGAATTATTTTATGATTTGTGTAAATTTGCATTTGCAAGTACATCGCCTTTTTGTAAACACATTCGAGTTAGTTTGCTAAATAAAAAAAAAAAAAAAAAAAAAAAAAAAAAAAAAAAAAAAAAGTCTAGTATGAATAGTATCTGACACCTTCAGAATTTTATATTGGACTCAATGTTCCGAAATATTCTGTTAGGTTCTTTCTAACAAGCAATTATGGGGCCCTAAATACAATTTAAATTTATTTTAAAGGCTATAATTGGTCGGGCTCGTGTCGGTGTGTACGCAGGTGCTGGGTTTCGGTCGCACGGAGTGGTCACTACTGGGCGAGGAGCTGTTTTCGGTGCGGCTACGGCTGGCAGCGTGCGAGCGCGGCGCGTGGCTCCACTGCGCGTGCGGCGTGGCGGCGGCCCGCGAACCGCGCGGCGTCTGCGCAGGAGACTCGGGCGGGCCCGTGCTCTACAGTGGCGTGCAGGCACATCCTTTTTGATATAATTAACTAAAGCCACGACATATTGTGGCGTGGTTACCAAAATTAACTGTATAAGCTGTATTTCCGACATCATGTTATGGATTCAGGTTCATATTTTTTTTATACCACTGAGGTGGCAAACGAGCATACGAAGGTCTTTAATCATTAATGACTTGTGAAACCGAAACATGATCCTGAAGGTGAAGTTTCTTGAATGGCGACCCCGTACACGCAAACGCAGTGTAGGACAACCCCTCACTAAATGGAGTGACGACCTCAAATGTAGGGAATCAGTAGATGCAGTGGCTCAGGACCGTTCCTTATAACAGTCTATGGGGAAGGCTATATGTTCATCAGTGGACAGATAATGGCTGAGATGATAACGAAATACGATGCCTTCGTAAATGATTAATTCACAGGCATACAAGTACAGCTGCTTAGTGACAGAAGCACGAGTGAGACTGAGCTATTCTTATTAACGCCTCTATAACATAGTCATCTTCTGGTATAATCATCATACGTGTGATATATATTTTTTTTTCGTTGATTCAATTATGTTGCATTGGTGCCAGGTCGGGGTGACGTCGATGGGCCCGCTAGAGTGCGTGAACAGGGCAGGTCCGCAGCCGGACTTTTCTGCTACGAGCGTGTTCACGACGGTGTACAACTATGCAAGTCTTATAAACGCTACTATCTTAAATACGGAGAACGAGCTAAGAATGCGCGAGATAGGGGTCGCGAGCCGCCGCGCGAGCAACGCAACGCTAGTGCTAGTAGCGGTATTGGCTTTACTACGAGTATCAGCGCGGTGACCGAATACTTACATACTCGTACTACTGAGTTGGTTTAACGTCAGGTGCGCACTGTTCACCCGGCAAGCGACCAGTGGTTGTTGTGTCGAATCAATCATGAGATGTGACAGCTAGCTGATTTGTTAAGTCGACAGAGTAGTTGCGACTACCTATTTGTAACGTCAAATTAACTTTTTTCTATCTTTTATTCTTATTTGTGCCAGGTTTACAACTATGTAGGTACAGAAAAATGAATGTCAATCGATTTAATTTTTTTTTTTGGTAATAAAATATTCGACCGGTGTATCTTTTTTATACGACTTGGAATGACAATTATTGGGACGGCACACTTGACGGAAAGTGTTGACCGTCGTTTATATAAATTGTTGCCATGGGGGGGAGGGATTGTTAATAATGAAGACTAAGGGGCCCATTGCTAGCAATATACCCAACTAGGTAGACCTTCACGTGGTCCTCCCCGGAAACCATCGTGTTGAATTCCAAGTGTAATCATCACGATGGGCTAACTGACCTGCCTTTTCATTCTCATCTATCATCCCTTACTGGTGCCCCGCCAGTGTATACCGTTAGCGTAAGCGGGGTATCCATTCCATCATCACCAATTAAAAAAAAATTAAAAAAAATTGTTGCCATGAATTTGACAGAATACATAATAACACATATGGTATCTCCGTTATTAATGCCACTATCATATCCTATCCTTGAAATACAATGATATTATTATTGCTCGAGTTTACGAGTAAGTATACTCATGGGGAAAGGTATTGTTGGTAAAGAGATATAAAAGCTCCATTGCTAGTAATATATCTTAACAGACCGACCTCCCTGTGGTTCCCCCTGGAAACTATTGTGGTTAATTCTTGTTGAATTCGTCACAATGGGCCAACTGACTTACTTTCATCCTCACTTATTATCTCTCACTGATGCCTCGCTGGTGTATGTTTATATCGCAAGCGGGCTTACCATTCTATTTTCTTTTATAAAAAAAAAATATGCTTCTTAATGGGACAGAAGTGCCCGTGCAGGTACCCGTGTCTTTTTAAATATATAAATCAAGACGCTGAACATACTTACTAGAATAATATGCAGCCGCTGCTCCCACATTGGTCCCTGCAACAAGTAATTCTATCGTAAGTATTGTACGCGTAATAAGCGGCAACACTGTCTATTGGAAGGGACTTCACTATACATATCTGAATTGGACTTTATGTAAGACACCATCTCAGCACTTCATTAGACGTTTCAGAGAAAGCCTGTACACACATGGTCCAGATGACTTGTCGGGTTGTTTTTATCAAAAATACAAATAATAATTGACTTTTAGAAGTATCGACATTAGTCCTTGAAAAAAAAAACTAAACAGATGGAGAAGTATACTCAATCAAACCAGAATTTTTTCGTCTTCCGATGAATTGATCCGTCAGTTTGTTAGCTAATTCTACTTGTATAAATAATGACAACAATATAAAATTGTTAATTATCCTTTATTTGAATCTTCAATAGAATTCCAGGAGTTCATAATGGATTAGAATTTATATTCTTCTAAAGTGTTGGTTGCAATGTTGGCAGCCCATACTACATAATTTAAGATGTTAATTTTATAACTATGCCATTTCTATTGCTTCTCACGAAGAATATATGCTACGGATAACAGTCTATCCACATTAAATTACACACTATTATTTTAAATCAATGTTTTCTCAGTTTTCTTGACGTAACAAATAGACCTATTGTACCGCCGTATAGGATAATACAAACAAAGTGTATAAAAGATCTCTGTTTCTCTGCGAGTATTCCATACCTACATAAAATACAGAAGGGTGTGACAGCTCAACTACATTCTTACAAAATCAGAAAAGGAACAGTGACCTTTCATTTACATAGTGATAAAGTCTCGGCTGGTTGGCTGCGTCCGCAGCGGCGCGTGTTGTTCACAAAATAGAAAAAGTTTCGTTTTGAATATGTTCACGGTGTAAGGATGGCGAGCCTTTGTTTGAACTCATCGTGGACTTTGCAAAAAATATTACACGGATTCTTTATTTAATATTATCTGTTTACGACGAATTGCAGCTACAATATAAACCACAAGACGTCGCTTACTAAACAATATATCAATCATTTAATATTATTTATTGAGTTATTTATAACATAGTATTTACGTATTTTGGTAAGCTTTACTAATGCACTCACCAAAAACAAAAAAAAAAAGACCTTTATAATAATACAATTCATACATTAATGGAAAAAAATATGCAATTATATTATAAAATAAACATAAAAAATTGAATGCTGCGTAATTTATTACCGCCCTGCAACACTGTGGCAGGACAGTGAAATAAATTCAACTGGGAGCTCGCAACTGCTTCGTTAACCAGACGTAGCGCCCTCGTGAGCGGCACCTGATCAGCATGGAATTATACATATATGTATAGTAACATTTTTTATTCTAGTAAAGGGTTTAATATTACCAAGTCAATGGTTAATTGTCCAGTGCAAATCGACTACCGTAAGGAACGGCCCTGAGCTACCTGTATCCAGCTGTAACCACATTCACCCTTCTTTTAGTCATTTTACCATCAATTGATCTAGACTTTTGTTTGGTCCATTATTACTCTGGTTTATTTATTCTTCGGATTAAACCCTATTTCAATTGGACTTAATGGAAATATAAATAAACAAATAATTGACCCGACCATAGCTTAATCTACTGATCTCTAATAGTAATACAAATAAAAAAATCGATCAAATGTTGTGTACGATCTTTCCGGTTTTGTAACTCTTCACTGGCAACATGCGCCGTTTCAACAAAATTGAAAAAAAAAAATATATATGTATATAAAATCCAAACCTATATTCTAGCATTTTGATAAGTTTCATTAGATTTCCGAAAGAAATATCATGACTTATCAAGGTAAGCCATCTAACCGCAATAGCGTTTAAAGACAGCGACCGTAGCACCGAGCCACCGACCTTTTTGATAACGTTAACGGCACCTCAGATAAAGCTGAAATGGTCCGAATGACGAACGAATTCTGATTACATGTACACGCAAAACAATTTATTGCGACTACTCGGTTCCTTTAACATAGAGGTGCACTATAGTGCGACACTCAGCGGGCACTGCGCAGTCTGGAATGGCTGACTAAAACCATTGACGCATTATAGATTAACTTCAAAGGTAAAATAGTTTTATCTATTTTTTAGAGGATGACGGAAATGACATGATTTCACAGAACAGAAGCCTATTTAAGTTTTCAGTTAACAGTTTTCATTATGTATATTCACTTATGGTCCAAGTATGTAATTGCATATTTATCGTAACATAGCTTTCTTTTGAGTAGGAGACAAAGTTTTTTTAATGGATGTTAATGGAATGGTAACCCCGCCTGCGCCAACGGTATAGGTACACTGGCTGGGCACTCGTGAGGGATGATAAGTGAGCATAAGCAAGTCAGCTAGCCCATCGTGACAAATTCAACGATAAATTAGTCACGATGGTTTCCAGGGGAAACCGCGTGGAGGCCGACCTGATAGAGTATATTGATAGCAATGAGGACTAACCTCCCCATTACTAACAATCCCTTCCCTCCATAGGAGACAAGTTGAATTAAACTTGATACAGTAGTACGGAAATCTTTCGATAGTGTCCCATAATTATTCACAGCAAGGATTCGCAGAACAAGGGAGAAATGTTTTAATTAGTTTATACCCGACTCGGTTAGTTACTTGACCTATGCAAAATGTCTCTAAAAATAATAATCAAATGAACAAAGTTGGCCACTAAATAATCCTGCGGGTCATTAATGACCGCACCGAAATCGAGGTCAATTTAACCGCCCTTATCTAAATCTCTATATTTGCTCAACAATTTATGAGCATCGCTACTAACGAACACTGAATAGGCTCTTTTGAAGCACTCGCTCGCATCTGAAATTAAATTCTGTTCCGATGTGCTAAAAGGTTAATTTTGTATTGTTTACGTCAAAATACGGTATAGCATACAGCGAACGCGAGCAAGCCGTTTCGTTACAGAAAGAATGTGCTGGTTACGATATTACTTAGTAGTTGTTGATACGGAGGTACGAAACAGCTAAATAAAGCCAATCTATAATAAACTATTTTTTTATTTTTGAAATATATATATAAAAAATGCCATTTAGTATCATTAAATAATATTTAATTTTCAACCGATATATATATATATATATATATATATATATATATATATATATATATATATATATATATATATATATATATATATATATATATATATATATATATATATATATATATATAGAATGTTCTCAATTATGTTGTATTGTTTTTCTGTTTGTTACTTCGTAACTGCATCAGTTGTTATATGAAATCTTTCTGATGTGTCTGATGTAAATTATGCACAATAAATATTTTACAATACAATTTTACAATACTCCGTCAGTTGTTTACCGATTTGGAAAATTCTCTTTTATCTAAATACATAGATATACTTACAGATTAGCCCTATAGAGATTTTATCAAAATCAATTCAATGTTTTAGTTTTTAAATAAACTGGTTTTGCCACAACTGAAGCCGGGTGTTTTTGTGTAATACAATTTAATTGTTGAGTCGTTGTTTAGTACGGCACTGACTGTAATATTACTGTGGGTTACAACCACTAGTATCAGCCCTATCAATGACCTATTTTTTCTCGAAAATATTAGAAGTGATTAGTGGCAACAAGAACACTTAATATTTAAATAGGCTTAATTAATTAAAAAAAAAATTATTTTTAAGCGATGGAGGAATATAAATGTTTGAATTTACCGTTCCATTTTGCACACGTCGTCAGTTCAAACTAGATCGTGGCATCGATTGCAATTAATACCTAATGACTTCGGGGTAAAAGGATTAAATGGATGATTGGCAACAATCGGGCAGTGATCGCTCAGCGATGTCCTTGTTGAACACGAGCCGGTGTAAGCGTTTCAGTCGAAGTGCGTCATCTAATGAATGGCCGAGGGCTCGGCTAAATTGGTTCGATTCAAAACGGATGGCGGTTGATGGGTAATTTAATTCGACGATCCAGACAACGATTAGGACAAAAAGTATTTTATAAGTTGACCCATCTGTTGATGGAGACGATCTATCTGTGTACTACATGTTGTCAATTGAAGTGTGATAGACTGACTAGCACCCAAATATATAAACTTTCCAACACATTTACCAACTACATTTGTAATACTACAATTGTAAAAATACTTGTACGATTCTAAACTATTTTATTTCACAGATTCACCTTTGACATTTGAGAACGCTACAAGGAAGGCGTAAGCTGCGTATAAAAAAAAAAAGGCTAAAAGAAAGCAATATCTTCAAAGACATATTTAAATGAACCGGCTCAGAGCTGGCGGCCAACTCTATCGCATTTTATAAAGCATTATTTAAGGGGAGCGTGGACAATACTATACTGCGACAAAACTGTATACAATTTTGATTTGGAAGACGTCTCTATAACGATACAACAAAAGTACCGGTGAAGATTGTATTTCCAAAGGTAAAATTCTCATCACTCTTCTATTAGTGATTTGCAATTTTACCCTCTTTTATGGCTGTTTATTTAAGCATTCCAATGTAAATCAAGCCATCATTACTATGTACCCAGAGTTACTTCCAGCCAGCCAGCGTAAGTGCAGTCGACGCGCCGGTCGGCGGGCGGCGGCGGGCGGCAGCGGTGGGCGACGGGCGACGTGGTGGCGAGCGATCACGTCTAATATTACGGATTATACTCACGACTGCTTTAAAGGGTTATTATCTGGTAACCACTACAGACATTTAACTACGGCCGAATCTTCTCAATACCAACTAAACAGGATTTAGTTTCATCCGTTCTGAGGTTAACTTACATGCGCTTTAACTCATCTGTTGCTGTAAGTTTATACAACGTCGAGTAAACACGGTCATATCGCTTAATAGGGTACACACGAGAGAGATATCTCTAGATAAAGTCTGTTTCGTAGCCGCTGGTTGTGTGCCTTGCTTGCGCAATGCGCCATAGTAAACGCGTGCTACGCGCTACGACGTAGCGGCCAGCGCTACAAATCAGCCTAACTGCAGTGAAAAATGTTAA